CATGTAATGTCCAATACAGTTTTTCACCGTATATAGTAGGGGAATTTACCGTTAACCATTTAACAGGTTTTTACTGTAGCATTTTTACAGTCTTTTACCGTTAAATTCACAGTCATTTTTTACAGTGTAATGTTAATATTTCCTGTGTCACAGCCATGATATGTTAACACCATCTTCCAATTTCTGAGGAAATTATTTGAAATATTTAGATAATTTTATTCTCCTGAAGCAGGTTCCATTGGCATCTAGCATCAACCGAAAAAAACAAAATGGCTACTACATGAACTCCATTGCTTTTGTGAAAGAAATGCCAAATTTGTCAACACCGTCAGATGTCACCACCATAAGATTTTGTGTTCCAATGATATATCAAAATACTTCAATGTGACTCTTGAATAAAAGCTTTATAAACAATAACATACTCACTGATTGTTTTAATATAGTAATTGACTGATTCAATGTATTTGATAGTTAAAATGACTACAAATTCAGGTTTTCGTCACCTCCGTCAGTTCTGTCACCTCCGTCAGTTGAATATTTTGATAATATTTCATAATGATATTTTATATTTGTTGTGGAATTATTGGTCTCGTGAAAGTGTAATCTGTCTGCTAACACGAGAATGTGTTTTGAAATGTTAAAAAAAATGTTGAATGCTGTTAAAGATAAAGCTGAAATGATATTACACAGTCCAAGCTAAAAAAAAGCATATTTTGTTAAAAAAGAGAAAAGTTGGGAGATTGTATCAAAGCATAGCTCAGTAGCTTAGTACATGATACATAAATGTAGTTTCATTTGTCTGAGTACAAGGTTTTATTTTTTAAACTTTGCACCCTATTTTGTCCCACTTCTCAAGAATGACTGAACTACTTTTATTTTCTATATCCTAGATAAGTTACCATACTTACTTATACCATACATATTGTGTCTGTTTTTATACACGAGTAATATTTCAAACCTTTGCAGTCGCACATTTACTGGACTTCATAGTAGCCTATATTATAATAGCCTTTAATGCACTATGTTAACAGTTTGAAATGCTAGTGTAAAGGCGAATATTGACTTAAAGGGGTCATATGATGTTGCTAAAAAGAACATTATTTTGTGTATTGCTATCCAGTGCGTTGTGATTGGCTGAATACCTCAAGCGTGTGACGGAAATGTTACGCCCCTCACCATACTGTTGAGGCCGTGTCAGGCCGGAGCGACGAGACAAAAACAATAAAACCCATTACTAACGAGGCATTTGTTGCATCCAGTGGGGACATAATTACTGATTATAATGACTTATACTGTCTTTTTACGCGTTGCGTTGCATTGCATCGTGCCGCGTAAACATAAAACCCTGTCTGCATTTGTGATCAGAGAAATGACAAACAACAAGCCCTACTCTACACTGCTCAAAACTCGCGTTTGAATCGTCAGTGGCAAATGATAAAAGAAAACGTACTTACGTGAGTCAGAACTGCCGGCATTTTAGTCTAACGTTACTCTCCCAGGATCCATAAACAGTCCTTCATAAAATGTGCCGGCGATCCACAGCACTACGTTGGATCAGTTCCAGGCATGACGAAGCGGATATCGTCCTCTTTTGGAAGACCAAACAAAGTAGTTTCGCTTTCACAACGAAGCACACAGCGTCTTCACGACACGGCGGCGGCGGCAACAATACTACAGCGAGAATAAAAGTTACGCCGCCTTTCTTTGCGTGAACATTTGAGCGGCGTTATGCAAATCTTCCCACATAGTGACGTAGACATGTGGGGGCGTGTTCGAATGAGCCGTTTTAGGTAGGCGTGGCTGACTCTTAACTTTTATAAAGAATATCTCTTTGGATTTGAGACTTTAGTCTTTGCAACTTTACAGATCTTCTTTATGCACCAAGAGCTTGTAACACTCCAAAGAGAAAGGAAAAAATGAAATCGCATCATATGACCCCTTTAACCGACCCCCTGTGCGCATGTCTCTCTCTCTTTCCTCAACAGTCTTAAAGTCTCACATTTTTAATTAATCTTTATTGAGCAGACGTGGACTAATTAGCGGACATGGTGCAATACCGGACAGGTGTTACTCGATTTATCCGGGAATGTCCATAATCTTTCTCCATTCGCAATTTATTTCGGGTTTTATCCTGCGAATGTGCCCTTTGCCCCTTTATTTACGCACTGAACTGCGCCATTCTGAATGCCCTTGCCGTCTTTAGCTCTCCGTCGTGTGTTCCCCGCACAGAGGTATCTGGAGACCGCTTCCTCAGCTCGCTGCGAGTGAGGCGCATACAAAAGTTGCAGCGGTCGCGCAGCTCGTGCGTTAGCTAGCGCGCTCGAGTTCTCAAACGAGCCGTCCGTCTTAAGTATGAAAACGGCTTATATTCGCTGTTGACAGCCTGTATACGGTGGCACAGAGGGAATGACATAAGCTAGTGTTCACACGGAGTGACCGTTTCTGCTTCGACCGCGTACAACCGAAGCGGCGGTAGTTGTATGCTCGGTGACATTAGCGTCACTGTCAGCTCGTTCGTCGATTTTGGCGCGGGTTTTATTCAGCGTTTGTTGTGTTCGCATGGCTGAAGGGTAACTTGTACTGGAGTTTTTGGTTGGAGGGGCGTTTACCGTGTTGAAGCTAGCAGGAGCATTTTGACGGGTAGAGCACGGGCTGTCGGGAGTTTGACAAGCAGCTTATGTAATGCTGGCGATTCCCCGCTCGACCGCAACAGACGAACAAACAGCGGGTAACGTTATTCAGTGCGACGAAGTTTATTTCGTGACACGACTTGTAGGCGTCGTCATTACGGTGCATTTCTGTGTGAGTTGTTTTTGCGACTGAAACACTGCTGCGCGTCTTGTACTAATCTATCGAACATGCGGGAAGTTCAACGAAAAGCTACCATCTGAACGCTTAAACCGCTTTGGACTTGTAAAGGTAAGTCGAGCTCATTTGCTTTCCGTGCGTTGTGAATGCAGAGTGCATTCTTTTTTGCAATTGCACACCGTCTGCGCTCGTTTTTCTTGTTTTAACCTTGACATATATCTAATGTGAACCCATATATAGCTGCTGCTGTGGCTTTAAATTATGTTTCAAAGCTTCTCCTGCTGCCACAATTTTGCGTCATTTAGACATTCCATGCCTTTTAACGTTTAAACCATGTCCTCAGACTTGGTTTCAGTTCTCGTTAAGTCATTTTAGTATGTATTGATGTGCTGTTTGACATTTATGTAGGTTTAACGAGCTTTAGTGCACATTAAGCGGTTTGTCAGGCTGAAGTTCATTTTGGACGCAGTAGCTAAGCTCAACCGACAGGTGGCAGCACTGCGGTGCATCCGCTGATGCATTTGGAGGATTTGTATGAGTTTTAATGTCTCTACGCGCCTCAAGTCTTTATTATCTGAGCAAACTCATCAAGCTCCATTTTGTGGGATGAGTTTGAATGCGTTGCAGTAAGTTTTTTATAAAACTACAGAATCCATTAGTGCAGTAATGCAGACTATAGATTCAAATAAGTAGGCAGGAGAAAAAAACAAACATAAAACAAATGCAAGGGTCAAATACAACTTGAATTGGTTGTTTAGCTGAAAAGTCTTAGAAAGCTGCGAAAGCCATTCATTATATCACCCCAAGAGAGCTTTTGTGTGGGCATCTGGATAGAAATGTAGTTTCATATCATATTATTTAATTGCATTAGGAGCCGAGAGGATCTCCAGGTGGGAGTTCTGTCCAGACCTACTCTATTCAAAGTCTGAATCTGTAATGTTTTCTGAATAACTCGCCAGCAAATAAATGTTGGCGCAAAATTGCATTTTTCCTTTTCATTTTTTGTCTTGTGTAAACATAAGTGCAATGTAAAATACTACCATAGCAATTTGTACTCCATTTTATATGTAAAACATAATGTATTTTTTGATAATATTAACTCAATTTTATGTTTAATATGTTTCTGTCTATACAACAGGATTAAGATATGGACGGTGAACAAAAACGCAGCAGTAACACTGCTGAGAATTTAACTTTGGAGGATTGTATCGAGAGAGGCTTCGTGCCTGATATTGGTGTCAATGTGTCCGCTTTAAATACGTCAAAAGATTTCTCGAATGGACAGAGCGGTAGTGACGCTCAAAGAAATCTCTCAGTGGCAGATCCATCCTTAATGGGACGTAACATACAAGAACCAGATGTTACGGCATTTAAACCTTTCAGAATGCAGCACCAGCAAAAGATAAAAGAGCCCCTCATTGGGGAGAACTTTTCGCTCTTGGACGAGAGCATTGCAGACTTAAATCGTGGTTCTGGCATCCAGGCCCCTGACACTTTCACAATGAAAATGGAGCGGTTTTCCCCGATAGGGAAAGATAGGCTGGACTTTCCATCCTATAGCCACCTGGATAAGGAATTGGATGGTAATGAGAGAGTGATTGGAGACAACACCATTGACATCCTTAAGGATCTGGACTTGCCTGACTCCCTATCTGACCTGAATGAGCTCTACGTTGCCGACGAGGCTGCCTTTCTTTCCTCGTTGGCTGTGGATGATGCCCTGCTGGGAGAGAGCAACTTTCTGAAGGATACCAGCCCTGTTGTCACTGGCAACAGTGCAGCCTACACAAATGTGAACGGCATGGGGAAACGGCAGCAGATGGTAGAAGCCAGTGTCAACATGCCGGTCATAAAGACAGAGAAAGACACAGACTTTATCCAGCTGTGTACACCGGGTGTCATCAAACAGGAGAATGAGAGGCGGAGCTACTGTCAGATGTCAGGGATGGGTGTGCCTCACGGTGGGCCCGCCACTTTGGGAGATATGAGCGGACAGGGATACCACTATGGAGCCAACACCGCCTCACCTGTGAGTGTACCAGATCAGAAACCTCCTTTCGGCCTGTTTTCTCCCCTACCCAACTTAAGTGATGGCTGGGTTCGAGGAAATGGATATGGAGATCCGTCTGGGATGCAGAGAGCCAATGAGACTGTACTTCCGTCCACCTATCCATACAGCAGGTAGGAATGACTTTCAAAAGCTTTTGAATGAGCTGCATTGATTATGAACGATGAAATGGATAAATAGTGAATAATTTGCTCTAAAATGAAAGGATTCATTATTTTGCAGATTTGCATGTTTTGGGACACGGTTCCCACGGCCATGGAAAACGTCTGGGAATTTTAAAATCGTGATTTGATTTCCCGACCTGAAAAAGTTTTGTAGTAATGCTGAGCTGTAAAATATTTCATCAGATGATGAAATTGTGGCCATTATGGGAAATCTTTCCCCATAAGGGTCATATCGGCAAAATGCAATCACAGAAAACTTTTTAAAAGTTTTAAAACTATAATTTAGAGGCTTGAAAAGAAATGAGTACAATTTAAAAAATTGTTGAAGTTTTGATAGAGAATATACATTGTGTATTTATTCTCAGTTCTAAAGTATTTCACAGGGTGTCATTTTTGTAAATGTAATCTCGATATAATGATCCTCATCCAGTCATGTGTCAGTCATGAAATCCTGATGGCAATGTGGAGTGGATTCTGCATTCCCAGACCCATTTACCCATTTATGAAAAAAAAAAACTGGCCACGAAACTTCTCAAAACTGCATGATATTTGATGAAGCTGTTGTTTGCAGCTTTAATTAGTTTGTGTGTTGGTCCGCTGCTTCTCCCAGGAGCCCATGTGTGCTGATCTGTATTGGTGCTTTGCCTGTCCAAAGCAAACACATGGGCCTCATGGAGCTCCCTTCGGCCCAGAACGGCACACATGCGCTCCTCTCTGAGCCCGGTTTCAGGAGGCTCTAAGCATCAATAACAGCATCGACCACTGTTGCTGATGTGATATTGTTTTTCAGTGAGTGTGGAGAGGACTAGAAGCTATGAGTCATTATGGCTCAAAATTCCCTGAGTGCTGAAAATAATATAAAGTGTGTCTTGACTCTTGACCAATGTTACTTTGATACTTGGGGTTGGGTTTTCTGATTAAATGAATTGTGAAATGAGTTTTACAGCCAACCTTCTTGACGGAGATCCTGAAATATATGGACTTTTAATGACCTCGGTTATGCTTTTGTTCATGTTTCTGATTTGTATGTGTCCTAGTACGGTGTGATGTTTTGTTAACGTTTTCCTATCCAACGTGCCAGTCTCGTTTGCGCAAGAGAAACCTTTAAACCTTTTCTCGATGGCTCTGTGTTAATCTGGCAGTCTACTTAGAAAGCCAAGTTAGAGATATTTAGCATATTTCTCCCTCTAAACCAACTTGGACAGTTTAGTGCTGTCTTAGTGGAAACTTATCAGTGTTAGTTACCTGAAATTTCACCTGACTCATTTTTGTGGACATATCTTGTATTAATATTCATATTCCGTTTAGAATTTTTTTAAACCTCCTATCAGTTCAGTTTAAACATTCAGACTCCGTTCAAACTATGGCCATCTTCCTTGCATATTTAACCATTTATAGCTCTCTTTACACTGTACGCTTTATGCACAGTGACAGAAAACAAGACATTTTGACTCTCATGATAACAGCAAAACTACTCTGATGTGGAATTTCATTTACACAGAGCCACAACCTAAAATTTAAAATGAAGAAAAAAAAACTAACTACAACCATAATATTCTAACACGCTAGTATTTTATTCAGGAAATGCTAAATCTAGTTTTTAAAATCATTTTCTGTTTAGATGTCATTCATAAAATAATAATAATAAAAAACAAAACATCAAGACAATTTTTGATTTTGTGAAAAGTATTTATTTAATTTAGGATGTTAGATATCTTTTAGTTCAGTTTGGGTCAAGGGATTCATGCAAGTTTTTTTCTTTTTCTGAAGGTCAGGAATGTGAACTGCTGTCAAGAAGTGATGATAAATCAAACATTTCATAAATTCTTATTCACATGTAACAGGGCAGATAAGATACAGCAGTACTCTTATCTGTAAGTTAAAAATAGCTAAAAAAAATTCACAAAAGTGCGTTTTTTGTTTCAATATACGTACAGTACAATGCTTAAAGTCCCCTATTTCTTGTGCATTTTTTTTTTTCCGGTTTTGGCATATTTCCTATTTATACAGCCAGTAATGTTAAAGGGGTCATGAACTGAGAAATCAAAATTCCCTTGATCTTTTGACATATAAGAGGTCACTGTACTATAAAAACTTCCTGTAAGTTTCAGAACTCAAAACTTTCTTGTTAGTCTAAAAACAGCTTATATTGAAGCCGATCTGCCAAAACGACAAGTTGTGGAATGTGCCACTTTATGACATAATAGTGTGGCTAAACCCCGCCTCCGCAGAAGATCATCAACGCCTGCTTCTACATCACTGCCTGTTTAGCCCCGCCCACCGATTCACACATACAATGTAAATAACGAGAGAGGCAAACGCAAACAAGATGCTGTTCAGTGCCAAGTTGTGGAAAAACATAGTCTTTGCATCTCGTTCCTTCTGATCCCAGCATTAGGAAAGAGTGGATGAACTTTATTTTTAATAAAGATCCATACCACGTCTGTAAGCATTACGCTGTGCATATGAATGCTGTTTTGTTTAGAATTGTTTAAAACATTTACGCACTTTTCTGAACCGACACGTAATGCAATTTCATTTCTTTGATTAAACTATTTAATGCAGTGCTTCATTTAGTTTATAGTTGCTGATTGCATTTTCTCGTGGGCTTAGGAAGCAACCAGTTGCTTTTTCCCCAGCTAAATTCAAATATAATTACTAAAAAACATTAGTCATATTTAAGTACAAATTTTTGGTTTCGTTTTTTCAACCCTTTTGACAGGCCTAGTGCTTTTTTGAGTGATTTAGCAAATGGCTTCAGAGCTAACAAAAGTCTTAGTACTTCAAAAACTGTCACGATAATTAATGAATTGAATATTTTTGAAACCGCTCCGCATTAGACTTTAGTACAGCAGCCTGTTAATGTACATTCTGTATGCATTACAGCTAGAAAACTAGCCTAATTTTGAAAAATAAGTGCCAGTGAGTAATGTTTGACTTGGACTTAGTTTTTTTGACTCTAGCAGTTCCTTAAATCACACCTTTGATCATCTTTAATGCCAGCGTCTCGTGGCTCGGGTTTGTTTCAACATGTTTTCTAATCTGAGAATCAATGGAATTTCCAGCAGCAGGTCTGATTTGCAATAGCTCCCTCATACTGCAATCGAAAGAAATATCTTGTCCGTACCGGTCTGTTCTGCTCTCTTTCCTGAGAGCAATATACCGGTGTGTTTGTTGCTTTAATTCACGTCGACGGCGGGTGATGCAGGAACACAGTGGTCTCTGACTTACTGTAAATGTGTGTACTGTATGCAAATGTTTTTTAAGTGTAAATAATTTAGGTTCTGTTGATAATTTTAACCTTGAATATTATAGTAATGTACCAAATGAGAATGTCTTCTAGTTTGCAGCATTAGTTGGGAGAGATTTTTTTTTTTCCTATAGGAAACTTGATATTTAACAATTGTTAACAATTAACACCGAATACCATGAAACTTTGATATTTTCTGAGACAGTTATTGCACCATGAAAATCTCATACTGTTGCAGCCCTATGTAGGAAATACAAAGTATTTCTAGGTTTTCAGTGACATGAAGATGCATAAGTGATGGTATAGTCAAGAATGTAAATATTTTAGTGAAGTAAATACACATACAGTAGTACAGCAGCAAGTGTTTTTATTTCTAGTCAGACATTAATGAAAATGATGATTACATAATACCTCCAAATTCTGTTCTTCAAGGATTGATCGTATATAACATCTATGTATAATGATCATATGTAGAGCTTCTTTCTGCTAATTACTGAGTGTCAGTTGTAAGTGTCGGGTTCTTTGTTGACTGTAGTCACGTGAGACAACAAACCGCTTCTGATTGTTTTGTTTTTTCCACTTCTAGAGGGTGCGGTCCTACTCTAAAACCCTCCGGCACCACCCATGAGCAGAGCCATTGTATGCATTCAATGTGCTGATATTTGATAGTTCCAAAAGTTTTATTAATTATGAATAGGTCAGCATCTAGTGTCTTTTGCTGTATTCATGCCTTTTTTTTTGTAGCACATTTTGATTCGTCTTTTTTAGTTGTTGTTGGTATTTTAATTTGCGCATGTCATTTTATTATTTTCCACAGCTCAAAGGATTATAATGATATAATCTACTCATACAATCCAGTGTATGTGATAGAATGAATACGAGGTTTGCATGTGTGGAAAACGGATGTCTGTACGAACTGAAGAATATTTCTGATTGAAAATAAGACTCCACTGAACGCTGCCCCAGTTTAGAATGACTAAGCCGCATTAAAAGTGAATAATTGGTGTCTCTTCTGAAGTTTCGACTTCACACCTTCAATAGGGCTGGACAATAATTCAATATCAATATGTATCGCGATTTTAATTTTTTTTCAATAACGGTGATATGATTTTTAAACACATTTCCGATATTTCGATATACGTTACCAGTGTTTCCCATACAATGATTTATTTGTGGCGTTTGACTTCGTTGAATAAACATGAGCACTGCACGTTTCAAAATCAAAACGCGTCGCAGGTGTTTTATATGAATGTATCTCTGAAGGGAACCGACTGTCTTCAGAATAGTTTAGATGGCATTTTAATCTGATAAAGTAGCGTTCATGAGCGGAGCTGCTTTGTTTACGTTCCACCGCGCTCACAGCGCCTCCTGCTGGCAGACAATAATAAACCCATTTCTAGCAACATGCTTTTGTTGTTGCTCTATTTTTTTGTTTTCTGAAGCAACTCGGAGCATGTTTCATACTCGTTATCCTGGTTAATGCACGTTTCAATCTATAAGAATAATCAGCCTACACGACCAGTCAAAGGTTTTTGAAC